AAACCAAAGACCTCCTTTAGGACTTGGAGATTTTTTTTTTTTTTTTTTAAGATGGAGTCTTTTTCTGTTGCCTGGGCTGGAGTGCAGTGGTGCTATCTCGGCTCACTGCAACCTCAGCCTCCTGAGTAGCTGGGATTACAGGCACCTACCACCACGCCTAGCTAATTTTTGTATTTTTAGTAGAGACAGGGTTTTGCCGTATTAGCCAGGCTAGTCTTGAACTCCTGACCTTGTGATCCACTCACCTTGGCCTCCCAAAGTGCTAGGATTATAGGTGTGAGCCACCGCACCCAACTGAGATACTGTTTTTAAAAGAGAAAAGTAACCAGGTGCAGTAGCTCATGCCTGTAATGGACACTTTGGGAGGCCAAGGTGGGTCTTTACCAAAAAAAAAAAAAAAAAAAAATTAGGTGTGTGGCACATGCCTGTAGTCCCAGCTGCTTGAGAAGCTAAGATGGGAGGCTGATTGAGCTCAGGAAGTTGAGGCCACAGTGACCTGTAATCACACACTGCACCCCAGCCTGGGTAAGGGGAATATGCTATCTCAAAAAGAAAAAAAATGAGACCTCGTCTCTATAGAAAATTTAAAAATTAGCCAGTCATGGTGGTGTGCACCTATAGTCGCAGCTAGTTGGGAGGCTGGGTTGGATGGATCTCTTGGGTCCAGGAGGTAGAGGCTGCAGCGAGCCATAGGTACTGCATTACAGTCTGAGAAACAGAGCAAGACTCTGTCTTTAAAAAAAAAAAGAAAAGAAAGAAAAGAAAATGGAGAGCTGATGTCAACCTAATATACTTGGTTATTTATTTATTTATTTATTTATTTATTTTACTTCACCTTGTACGTGACTTGGTTTTGTTTTTACCTGGCTAGATTTTAGACTGTGGCCTTAAGTCTGTGTGTAGGACAGTGAGTTTCATCAAGAATGAGATTCTATGTAAGTTGCAGCCCTGCTGCCAAGACTGTGACATAAAATAATGTGCTTTTTGGAGCCTCCGCAGTTTCACTGCAGTTGGTCTAGAGTCTAGTCAAGACCTGGGATCGACAAACTTCCTCTGTAAAGGCCAAATGGTAAATATTTTAGGCTTTGCCTGCAGTATGGTTTCTGTTATAACTGTTTAACTTTGCCACAGCTAGTCACCTCTGAGTTTGTAACACAAAAACAGCCATGGAAAATATGTAAACTAGTGGATTTTGCTGTGTTCCACTAAGTTTTACAAAAATAGACTGCAAGTAAAAAAATGCTCATCATCACTGGTCATTAGAGAAACACAAATCAAAACTGCATTGAGATACCATACCATCTCATGCCAGTTAGAATGGCGAGCATTAAAAATCTGGAGACAACAGATGCTGGAGAGGATGTGGAGAAATAGGAACACTTTTACACGTTGGTGGGGGTGTAAATTAGTTCAACCATTGTGGAAGACAGTGTGGCAATTCCTCAAGGACCTAGAAATAGAAATTCCATTTGACCCAGCAATCCCATTACTGGGTATATATCCAAAGGATTATAAATCGTTCTATTATAAGGACACATGCACACATATGTTCACTGCAGCACTGTTTACAATAGCAAAGACTTGAAACCAACCCAAATGCCCATCGATGATAGACTGGACAGGGAAAATGTGGCACATATAAACCATGGAATACCATGCAGCCATAAAAAATGATGAGTTCGTGTCCTTTGTAGGGACATGGATGAACCGTCATTCTCAGCAGACTGACACAAGAACAGAAAATCAAACACTGCATGTTCTCACTCTAGGCAGATGTTGAACAATGAGAACACATGGACACAGGGAGGGGAGCATCACACACTGAGGCCTGTTGGGTGGGACTAGGGGAGGGACAGTGAAGGGGGGTAGGGAGGTTGGGGAGGGATAACATGGGGAGAAATGCCAGATATAGGTGATGGGGATGGAGGCAGCAAATCACATTGCCATGTACGTACCTATGCAACAATCCTTTATGTTCTTTACATGTACCCCAGAACCTAAAATGCAATTAAAGAAGAAGAAAAAAAAAATATATATATATATATATATATATAAAACTAAGTTCTGTTAAAATTAAAATAGACTGCAAGTTTAGCTGGGCATTGTGGCACACTACTGTAGTCCTGGCTATTTAAGAGGCTGAGATGGGAGATTTGCTTGAGCCCAGTAGTTGAAAGTTACAGTGAGCTGTGATTGCATCACTGCACTCTAGCCTGGGCAACATAGTGAGATCTTGTCTCTATAAAAAAATAAACATAATCCAGCCTGACCAACATGGTGAAACACTGTCTCTACTAAAAATACAAAAATTAAGGCCAGGTGCGGTGGCTCATGCCTGTAATCCCAGCACTTTGGGAGGCTGAGGCGGGTGAATTACCTGAGGTCAGGAGTTCGAGACCAGTCTGGCCAATACGGTCAGCTAAAGCCCGTCTAATAAAAATACAAAAATTAGCTGGGCGTGGTGGCGTGTACCTGTAGTCCCAGCTACTCGGGAGACTGAGGCAGGAGAATTGCCTGAACCCAGGAAGGCGGAAGTTGCAGTGAGCCGAGATCCCACCACTGTACTCCAGCCTGAGCCACAGAGAGGGACTCCGTCTCTTTAAATAAATAAATTAAACAAACATAAACTCTAGGCAAGATTTTATTTCCTGACTCCTGATCTAGATAGATATTCCTTTTTTCTGTTTCTCTGGAATTCCCAAAGTCTCCCTAGAAACCCTACTGTAAATTCATATAATGTGATATGCCCTCATGTGATCACATTACTTTGGGGCTAGGAGTGATTATAGGTGATCAACATATTGAATTAAACATTTACATTTAAGTTTGGGCCAGGCTTGGTAACTCATGCCTGTTATCGCAGCACTTTGGGAGGCCAAGACAGGTGGATCACCTGAGGTCAGGAGTTCGAGACCAGGCTGGCCAACTTAGTGAAAATGATGCAATACTAATACAAAACTTAGCCAGGCATGGTGGCATGCACTTGTAATCCCAGCTACTCAGGAGGCGGAGGCAGGAAAATTGCTTGAACCCAGGAGGCAGAGTTGCAGTGAGCTGAGACCTCATCACTGCACTCTAGCCTAGGCGACAAGAGTTAGAACTCTGTCTCAAAAAAATAAAGTTTGAAAAGTTATTTACCAAAAGGGATGACAGCCAATTTATTCAAATTCTTCATACCTTAAACTTGAGGAATGGGGTAGACTACCTATTGGTATAATTTTGGTATAATTATATCTATTGGTATAATTTTACATATTAAGGAAATAATTTGAGCACCTACTAATAGAAGTTCTATTCTAGGCCAGGTGCTATGGCTCATGCCTGTAATCCCAGCACTTTGGGAGGCTGAGGCGGGTAGATCACCTGAGATCAGGAGTTCAAGACCAGCTTGGTCAACATGGTGAAACCTCGTCACTACTAAAAATACAAAAAAATTAGCCAGGCATGGGCAGGCACCTGTAATCCCAGCTACTCAGGAGGCTGAGGCAGGAGAATCGCTTGAACCCAGGAGGCAAAGGTTGCAGTGGGCCAAGATCTCAGCACTGCACTCCAGCCTGGGCGACATAGCAAGACTCTGACTCTAAATAAATAAACAAACTTCTGTTCTAGATGAGAGAAGACAGAAGAGGCTGCCCTTGATGCCCCCAAAAAAGTAAATCAGAAAATAATAGTAAACCCCATAACAATAAATGTTACAAATAACATTTGTAGAGGTGGGTCATGGTTGTATGCTGTTTTGTTTCTTTTTCAGGAAGCAGACTAGGATATTTAAGAGATGAAGTCTAACTTTGTCACTCAGGCTGGAGTGCAGTAGCAGTGATCATAGTTCACTGCTACCTTGAATCCTGAGCTCCAGAGATCCCCTCACCTCAGCCTCCCAAGTAGGTGGTAGCACAGGCACATGTACCTCTGTACACTACTAAGTTTTTGTATATTTTTGTGGAGGTAGGGGTTTGTTTGTTTGTTTGAAGATGGGGTTTCACCATGTTGGTCAGGCTGGTCTTGAACTCCCGACCTCAGGTGATCCACCTGCCTTGGCCTCCAAAGTCCTTGCATTACAGGCGTGAGCCACCGCGCCTGGCCTTTTGTTTGTTTTTGAGACAGAGTCTCATTCTGTCACCCAGGCTGGAATGCAGTGTCTGGATTTTGGCTGCCCACAACCTCCACCTCCCAGGTTCAAGTGATTCTCCTGCTTCAGCTTCCCAAGTAGTTGGGACTACAGGCACGTGCCACCACACCCAGCGGATTTTTGTATTTTTAGCAGAGGTGGGGTTTTGCCATGTTGGCCAGGCTGGTCCTGAACTCCTGACCTCAGGTGATCCACCCTCCTTGGCCTCCCAAAGTGCTGGGATTACAGGCTTGAGCCACTGCACCTGGCTGGAGATGGGATTTAACCATGTTCTTGTACTCCTGGGCCCAAGCTGTCTACTTGCCTCAGCCTCAAAAGTGCAGGTATTGCAAGTGTGAGCCACCACGCCCGGCCTCTTGATTATTTTCGAAAGTCACTCTTCAGCTCTTTGAAATACCAGTAATCCCCATAGGGTAGAAGTTATGCCGAGAGCCCATGAACAGATTAGAAAAAGAGCATGTAGACCCTGGGTGAGCTGCTGCCCTAGAAGAATGGGGACCCCTTCTGTAAGCTGTGTCAGAATCATCTAGCAGTGACAGATGTCTGTAAAGAGCCTGCCTCTGTGGGATAGGAAGTACCACTGTGAAGCTACCTAGTGTTATGGATCTTTTGCTCCTACAGAAGCATTACTTGGGCCTCACAGAGGATCTCAGCACCACTCTTGACTGGACTGAGAAAAGCTGGTGGTTCTCTGTTTAAAGGAAAGGGATTATATCTGCTCTATTTTGTGGTTTTGAAACTAGTGGATTTCATTAAATGTCTAACATTCTTCTCAAGCAACAAAGTATCTGTGCACTTTCACTAGGGCTCTTGGAAAGTCTTCAAGATAGAATTGTATGTATCCCCCAAATTCTGTACATTTTTCTTTCAGAAAACATCCCAGAAAAGTGGACCCCGGAAGTCAAGCATTTCTGTCCCAACGTGCCCATCATCCTGGTTGGGAATAAGAAGGATCTTCGGAATGATGAGCACACAAGGCGGGAGCTAGCCAAGATGAAGCAGGCATGATCTGGGGCAGGGGTTCTGTCTTGTAGTATTCTTGAACTAGGGCCCCAAGGTTGGAGGTTTGGGGAGCCCAGCAGTAACTTTCACAGGCCAGGCTGTTTTAGAGGCACAGAACCCCTCTGTGGCCCACTGGCCCTCAGTAATTGGGATCTACACAGAAGGATCCCTAAGATATAGATCACTAGTCCTGTGAGATGGAATGTCTTTTATGAGGTAGTGCTATGTCTGCAAGGACTACTGGCCTGAGAATGAACCATTTCATCAGTAGTCAGTAGGCAATGCTTCTAGATATAGGAACTTTCTTCCTTTTTTTCCCCTTTTTTTGATTGAATCGAGTGATTCTCCTGCCTCAGCCTCTGAAGTAGCTAGGATTACAGGCATGTGCCACCACACCTGGCTAATTTTTGTATTTTTAGTAGAGATGGGTTTCACCATGTTGGTCAGGCTGGTATCGAACTCCTGACCTCCTGTGATCCTCCCACCTCAGTCTCCCTAAGTGCTGGAATTACAGGGGTGAGCTACCATCCAGCCCTGTTACACTCGATTGCCTTCTCCAGAGAAGTCCTTACTTTGGTACATGTGAGGCCAAAGATAAGTGGCAACTGGAAAGATAAGTAAATCATGAAGGCCGGGAGTCCATATAGAAAGCGCCAATGCCTGCCTTCTCTCCCACCCCCAATGTCTTTTTAAAAGTGATGATGGATGTGGCATCTTGGCCTCTCAGTAACCAGGTGGCCTAATGGCAGGGCTTCCTCACTGTAGGAGAAGCATTGAGATCTTTAACCTAGGTTCTCCTACTGAGGTTTTTGTTTGAATGTCAAGGGTAGGCTCTATTTCCTTCCATGAGCATTCAGTCCTAGATTGGTAGCTTGAGCAATTTTGCTGTTGATTGGCTCCTTAACCTTCCAGGGTACCTCTGATCTCTTTTCTTTTTCTACTTCCCAGAGAAGACCATGTTTAATAGAGATTTTATGTTTGGTAGGGGGTAGTCACCATATGTCAGTTTAAAATTTTCATAACAGAGCACTCAAATCTGGGAGTTTAGCAGCTTTTAAAAGTATTTTAGGCTGGGCGCAGTGGCTCACGCCTGTAATCTCAGCACTTTGGGAGGCCAAGGTGGCAGATCATGAGGTCAGGAGTTCGAGACCAGCCTGGCCAAAATGGTGAAACCAATCGCTATTAAAAAGACAAAAAAGGCCGGGCACGGTGGCTCAAGCCTGTAATCCCAGCACTTTGGGAGGCCGAGGCGGGTGGATCACAAGGTCAAGAGATCGAGACCATCCTGGTCAACATGGTGAAACCCNTTATTTATTTATTTATTTATTTATTTTACTTCACCTTGTACGTGACTTGGTTTTGTTTTTACCTGGCTAGATTTTAGACTGTGGCCTTAAGTCTGTGTGTAGGACAGTGAGTTTCATCAAGAATGAGATTCTATGTAAGTTGCAGCCCTGCTGCCAAGACTGTGACATAAAATAATGTGCTTTTTGGAGCCTCCGCAGTTTCACTGCAGTTGGTCTAGAGTCTAGTCAAGACCTGGGATCGACAAACTTCCTCTGTAAAGGCCAAATGGTAAATATTTTAGGCTTTGCCTGCAGTATGGTTTCTGTTATAACTGTTTAACTTTGCCACAGCTAGTCACCTCTGAGTTTGTAACACAAAAACAGCCATGGAAAATATGTAAACTAGTGGATTTTGCTGTGTTCCACTAAGTTTTACAAAAATAGACTGCAAGTAAAAAAATGCTCATCATCACTGGTCATTAGAGAAACACAAATCAAAACTGCATTGAGATACCATACCATCTCATGCCAGTTAGAATGGCGAGCATTAAAAATCTGGAGACAACAGATGCTGGAGAGGATGTGGAGAAATAGGAACACTTTTACACGTTGGTGGGGGTGTAAATTAGTTCAACCATTGTGGAAGACAGTGTGGCAATTCCTCAAGGACCTAGAAATAGAAATTCCATTTGACCCAGCAATCCCATTACTGGGTATATATCCAAAGGATTATAAATCGTTCTATTATAAGGACACATGCACACATATGTTCACTGCAGCACTGTTTACAATAGCAAAGACTTGAAACCAACCCAAATGCCCATCGATGATAGACTGGACAGGGAAAATGTGGCACATATAAACCATGGAATACCATGCAGCCATAAAAAATGATGAGTTCGTGTCCTTTGTAGGGACATGGATGAACCGTCATTCTCAGCAGACTGACACAAGAACAGAAAATCAAACACTGCATGTTCTCACTCTAGGCAGATGTTGAACAATGAGAACACATGGACACAGGGAGGGGAGCATCACACACTGAGGCCTGTTGGGTGGGACTAGGGGAGGGACAGTGAAGGGGGGTAGGGAGGTTGGGGAGGGATAACATGGGGAGAAATGCCAGATATAGGTGATGGGGATGGAGGCAGCAAATCACATTGCCATGTACGTACCTATGCAACAATCCTTTATGTTCTTTACATGTACCCCAGAACCTAAAATGCAATTAAAGAAGAAGAAAAAAAAAATATATATATATATATATATATATAAAACTAAGTTCTGTTAAAATTAAAATAGACTGCAAGTTTAGCTGGGCATTGTGGCACACTACTGTAGTCCTGGCTATTTAAGAGGCTGAGATGGGAGATTTGCTTGAGCCCAGTAGTTGAAAGTTACAGTGAGCTGTGATTGCATCACTGCACTCTAGCCTGGGCAACATAGTGAGATCTTGTCTCTATAAAAAAATAAACATAATCCAGCCTGACCAACATGGTGAAACACTGTCTCTACTAAAAATACAAAAATTAAGGCCAGGTGCGGTGGCTCATGCCTGTAATCCCAGCACTTTGGGAGGCTGAGGCGGGTGAATTACCTGAGGTCAGGAGTTCGAGACCAGTCTGGCCAATACGGTCAGCTAAAGCCCGTCTAATAAAAATACAAAAATTAGCTGGGCGTGGTGGCGTGTACCTGTAGTCCCAGCTACTCGGGAGACTGAGGCAGGAGAATTGCCTGAACCCAGGAAGGCGGAAGTTGCAGTGAGCCGAGATCCCACCACTGTACTCCAGCCTGAGCCACAGAGAGGGACTCCGTCTCTTTAAATAAATAAATTAAACAAACATAAACTCTAGGCAAGATTTTATTTCCTGACTCCTGATCTAGATAGATATTCCTTTTTTCTGTTTCTCTGGAATTCCCAAAGTCTCCCTAGAAACCCTACTGTAAATTCATATAATGTGATATGCCCTCATGTGATCACATTACTTTGGGGCTAGGAGTGATTATAGGTGATCAACATATTGAATTAAACATTTACATTTAAGTTTGGGCCAGGCTTGGTAACTCATGCCTGTTATCGCAGCACTTTGGGAGGCCAAGACAGGTGGATCACCTGAGGTCAGGAGTTCGAGACCAGGCTGGCCAACTTAGTGAAAATGATGCAATACTAATACAAAACTTAGCCAGGCATGGTGGCATGCACTTGTAATCCCAGCTACTCAGGAGGCGGAGGCAGGAAAATTGCTTGAACCCAGGAGGCAGAGTTGCAGTGAGCTGAGACCTCATCACTGCACTCTAGCCTAGGCGACAAGAGTTAGAACTCTGTCTCAAAAAAATAAAGTTTGAAAAGTTATTTACCAAAAGGGATGACAGCCAATTTATTCAAATTCTTCATACCTTAAACTTGAGGAATGGGGTAGACTACCTATTGGTATAATTTTGGTATAATTATATCTATTGGTATAATTTTACATATTAAGGAAATAATTTGAGCACCTACTAATAGAAGTTCTATTCTAGGCCAGGTGCTATGGCTCATGCCTGTAATCCCAGCACTTTGGGAGGCTGAGGCGGGTAGATCACCTGAGATCAGGAGTTCAAGACCAGCTTGGTCAACATGGTGAAACCTCGTCACTACTAAAAATACAAAAAAATTAGCCAGGCATGGGCAGGCACCTGTAATCCCAGCTACTCAGGAGGCTGAGGCAGGAGAATCGCTTGAACCCAGGAGGCAAAGGTTGCAGTGGGCCAAGATCTCAGCACTGCACTCCAGCCTGGGCGACATAGCAAGACTCTGACTCTAAATAAATAAACAAACTTCTGTTCTAGATGAGAGAAGACAGAAGAGGCTGCCCTTGATGCCCCCAAAAAAGTAAATCAGAAAATAATAGTAAACCCCATAACAATAAATGTTACAAATAACATTTGTAGAGGTGGGTCATGGTTGTATGCTGTTTTGTTTCTTTTTCAGGAAGCAGACTAGGATATTTAAGAGATGAAGTCTAACTTTGTCACTCAGGCTGGAGTGCAGTAGCAGTGATCATAGTTCACTGCTACCTTGAATCCTGAGCTCCAGAGATCCCCTCACCTCAGCCTCCCAAGTAGGTGGTAGCACAGGCACATGTACCTCTGTACACTACTAAGTTTTTGTATATTTTTGTGGAGGTAGGGGTTTGTTTGTTTGTTTGAAGATGGGGTTTCACCATGTTGGTCAGGCTGGTCTTGAACTCCCGACCTCAGGTGATCCACCTGCCTTGGCCTCCAAAGTCCTTGCATTACAGGCGTGAGCCACCGCGCCTGGCCTTTTGTTTGTTTTTGAGACAGAGTCTCATTCTGTCACCCAGGCTGGAATGCAGTGTCTGGATTTTGGCTGCCCACAACCTCCACCTCCCAGGTTCAAGTGATTCTCCTGCTTCAGCTTCCCAAGTAGTTGGGACTACAGGCACGTGCCACCACACCCAGCGGATTTTTGTATTTTTAGCAGAGGTGGGGTTTTGCCATGTTGGCCAGGCTGGTCCTGAACTCCTGACCTCAGGTGATCCACCCTCCTTGGCCTCCCAAAGTGCTGGGATTACAGGCTTGAGCCACTGCACCTGGCTGGAGATGGGATTTAACCATGTTCTTGTACTCCTGGGCCCAAGCTGTCTACTTGCCTCAGCCTCAAAAGTGCAGGTATTGCAAGTGTGAGCCACCACGCCCGGCCTCTTGATTATTTTCGAAAGTCACTCTTCAGCTCTTTGAAATACCAGTAATCCCCATAGGGTAGAAGTTATGCCGAGAGCCCATGAACAGATTAGAAAAAGAGCATGTAGACCCTGGGTGAGCTGCTGCCCTAGAAGAATGGGGACCCCTTCTGTAAGCTGTGTCAGAATCATCTAGCAGTGACAGATGTCTGTAAAGAGCCTGCCTCTGTGGGATAGGAAGTACCACTGTGAAGCTACCTAGTGTTATGGATCTTTTGCTCCTACAGAAGCATTACTTGGGCCTCACAGAGGATCTCAGCACCACTCTTGACTGGACTGAGAAAAGCTGGTGGTTCTCTGTTTAAAGGAAAGGGATTATATCTGCTCTATTTTGTGGTTTTGAAACTAGTGGATTTCATTAAATGTCTAACATTCTTCTCAAGCAACAAAGTATCTGTGCACTTTCACTAGGGCTCTTGGAAAGTCTTCAAGATAGAATTGTATGTATCCCCCAAATTCTGTACATTTTTCTTTCAGAAAACATCCCAGAAAAGTGGACCCCGGAAGTCAAGCATTTCTGTCCCAACGTGCCCATCATCCTGGTTGGGAATAAGAAGGATCTTCGGAATGATGAGCACACAAGGCGGGAGCTAGCCAAGATGAAGCAGGAACCTGTGAAACCTGAAGAAGGCAGAGATATGGCAAACAGGATTGGCGCTTTTGGGTACATGGAGTGTTCAGCAAAGACCAAAGATGGAGTGAGAGAGGTTTTTGAAATGGCTACGAGAGCTGCTCTGCAAGCTAGACGTGGGAAGAAAAAATCTGGGTGCCTTGTCTTGTGAAACCTTGCTGCAAGCACAGCCCTTATGCGGTTCATTTTGAACAAGTGCTGTTTATTAATCTTAGTGTATGATTACTGGCCTTTTTCATTTATCTATAATTTACCTAAGATTACAAATCAAAAGTCATCTTGCTACCAGTATTTAGAAGCCAACTATGATTATTAATGATGTCCAACCTGTCTGGCCCACCAGGGTCCTTTTGACACTGCTCTAACATCCCTCCTCTGCACTCCCACCTGATAAACCAGGCACTAATTCAAGGAATTTCTTAACTTCTTGCTTCTTTCTAAAAAGAGAAACAGTTGGTAACTTTTGTGAATTAGGCTGTAACTACTTTATAACTAACATGTCCTGCCTATCACCTGTCAGCTGCAAGGTACTCTGGTGAGTCACCACTTCAGGGCTTTACTTATTAACAGATTTTGTTGGCATAGCTCTGGGGTGGGTGGTTTTTTGAAAATGGGCTGAACCAGAAAAGCCCAAGTCCATGCAGCTGTGGCAGTTACAGTTCTGTGGTTTCATGTTAATTACCTTATAGTTACTGTGTAATTACTGCCACTTAATGTATGTTACCAAAAATAAATATATCTACCCCAGACTAGATGTAGTATTTTTTTGTATAATTGGATTTCCTAATACTGATATTTGTCATCCCCAAAGAAAGTGTATTGGTTTTTTAAAAAAGAAAGTGTATTTGGAAATAAAGTCAGATGGAAAATTCATTTTTTAAATTCCCGTTTTGTCACTTTTTCTGATAAAAGATGGCCATCTTACCCTTTTAGGCCCCACATATCTCAGTACCCCTATCTGGAGCTGGGCTCAGTAATAAGAATTGGTTTCATTCCTGAGGCAATTAGACACTTTGGAAGGTGGCATAACCTGTCTCACCTGGACTGCAGCGCTCTTTTCTCCACACTGCATCTAGGTTCCCTCCCAGAGTAGCCACCAGTTCTCATGGGTGGCACTCAGTCTCTCTTCCTTCCAGCTGACTAAACTTTTTTTTCTGTACCATTTAATTTTTCCAACTACTAATAGAATAAAGGCAGTTTTCTAAACTTCCTGTATCCTCGTGTTTGTGTCGCTCTCTCCAGGGCTGGGGGGCAGGAGGATGCAAGGACTTCCTGACCTAGCTCACCCTGGAGAGGTTTGTTAAGGGTGCAAAGGACTAGCTAGTGCCCCCCCTCCCACTCACGCAGCAACTAACCTGGTCCCTCCAAGCAACATGGAAGTGATTATCCTGGACCACATTCTAGTTCAGATTGGGGGGTGGAGTGAATGCAGCCTATTGAGGCCACACAGGGAAGACTCAGGCCGTGCTTCCTTGGCCTTGGCAAGCTGTTGTGCTCCATTTTAGGAGGCTGGGCCAGTGCTTTGTGGACTCTCTATCTTGTTAGAAAACCTGCACGAGGGCGGTGCCGCTTTGGAGACCGAGAGGAGGGAGACCGGAAGCTTAGATCCCTCTGGCTGTGCCCTAGACTGCTAGTAACATGGCACAGTACAGAAGGGCTGTGTGCACGGGCAGCTCCTGCAGCTGCTGCTGCCACCGCCCACCAGCCTTCCATGCCAAACCCCACACCCTAATTGAGGAACCTCTGAGAAAGAACAGCCCTCGAGGGCCTGGGCCCCCGAAGTGTAACCCGGACTGCTGCCGCCTAGTTGCCTAGATCAGACCGGGCAAGCCCGCGGCTCCTCCCGTCTTGGGCGGAGCCCGCGTCATACTCCGGCGCACCCTCCAGCCTTTTCCCGGCGGAGGAGGGGCCGAGCCCGACGGGGAGGGCGGGGGCCGGACGAGGCGGGACCCTCGGGTCGGGAAAAACTGCTTGGGTCACGTGACTCACTGCAGACCAGTTAAAAGAGACGCCTCCTAGCCTCTTACTGCTGGTTCGGGCCGCTCCCTTCTCGAATAGCTGCGCCATGTGTGCTGCTCGGCTAGCGGCGGCCGCTCAGTCGGTATATGCCTTTTCCGCGCGTCCGCTGGCCGGCGGGGAGCCTGTGAGCCTGGGTTCCTTGCGGGGCAAGGTGCTGCTTATCGAGAATGTGGCGTCCCTCTGAGGCACCACGGTCCGGGACTACACCCAGATGAACGAGCTGCAGCGGCGCCTCGGGCCCCGGGGCCTGGTGGTGCTCGGCTTCCCGTGCAACCAGTTTGGACATCAGGTGCGCCGGGCGGGGCGGGCGAGGACCGGCGTGCAGTGGTGGCTGGGGGCGCCGGCGGGGTGCTGGCGGGCGCCGCAGGCCCTGTGCGCGGAGAGTCTGGCTACCCGGTTTCCCTTCTGGTGCTTGTAGATGCTGGAATGACGGTCCGCCCTTGGGATTGCGCATGGCGGGCAAAGTCCCGGTGACTCATAGAAAAACTTCCTTGTTTGTGGTTAGAAAGTTTCCCTCCCATCTCGATCCCGGCTCCCAGCTGCCCTTCTCTCCCTTAGGAGAATGCCAAGAACGAAGAGATTTTGAATTCCCTCAAGTACGTCCGACCTGGTGGTGGGTTCGAGCCCAACTTCATGCTCTTCGAGAAGTGCGAGGTGAACGGTGCGGGGTCGCACCCTCTCTTCGCCTTCCTGCGGGAGGCCCTGCCAGCGCCCAGCGACGATGCCACTGCGCTCATGACCGACCCCAAGCTCATCACCTGGTCTCCGGTATGCCGAAACGATGTTGCATGGAACTTTGAGAAGTTCCTGGTGGGCCCTGACGGTGTTCCTGTGCGCAGGTACAGCCGTCGCTTCCAGACTATTGACATCGAGCCTGACATCGAAGCCCTGCTGTCCCAAGGGCCCAGCTGTGCCTAGGGCGCCCCTCCTACCCCGGCTGCCTGGCAGTTGCAGCGCTGCTCTCTGGGGGATTTTCATCTATGAGGGTGTTTCCTCTAAACCTACAAGGCGGAACACCTGATCTTCCAGAAAATACCCTCTAGAGAATTGGCACTGGTCCTGTCCATCCCAGTCTCCCTGCCAGACCAAGGCGAGTTTCCCCACTAATAAAGTGCCAGGTGTTAGCAGAACTGTGTGTATGTCCTGTATCACTGCCAACTGGGGATACTTTTTCTTTTTTTTGGGGGGGGGATACTTTTTCTAACCTTATTGGCATAGTGGTGGGAACTTAACCGTCTTCCCCTTATCCTAGCCAAGTTTGAACTTTGTCCTTTTGTCTGCAGTGTGTAGGATCCACCCTTTACTTTGTGGGAAATCTGGCTTCTGGCCTGCATTTCTGCCTTTGCCAGAACATGGAATAGGGCCATCCCAAGGCCCAGTTAAAACAAAGTCCTTACTTCAAAAAGAAGACACAAGGCAGGGGTTGACTGCCTAACTCAAATAGTAGGCTTCTCAGTATTTGCTCCACACTGAAATGACCACAAGATAACATGAGCCCCCACTCACATTCAGACTCTATGGCCTCTCCTAGTGTTAGGCCCACACAGGCCCATTTTACACAGTTGGAGGCTCATGCAAAGTTATAAATTCTCTGTTAACTTGGCTAGATCTTTCCATACTGCTACCAAGTGCTTGTATCTGCTGTGAAGCTGTTCTTAAAAGTTTCTGCCTCATGTATTCAAGAGTGTGAAGACTACAGTGTAACTGGCCCTTCTGAGTCTGCCCTGCCCAACACTTAGGCGCAGTTGCACATTCAGGCCCAGGATAAGGGCTTGTCTTTGAAGCCTGCTTCTACTTCTCAGGCACCACTCAGGTCCTGCCTACCCATCTGTTGACCCTGCTGCCAGTAATCTTTCAAGACAGATAAGCCATTTGCTACCACCGTGCAGGGAACTGCAGGGCCTGGGTGAAGCTTCTGCTTGGGCAGACAGGTACCCAGAGACGTGGCAGTGCTGTTCACTCAGGTGAATGTGGGCCAGAGGTTCTGCCTGCCCAGCATTTGTGTTCAAAGTGGTGATTCAAGGCCCTTCTTATATCTGAACCAACTCTCAAGGACCTTTCCTCTTGCCCTAAGTAGGGATCTGTGCTGCTGCTTGCTGCCCTCCTACTTTGTATGCCCTTAGGTAATTAAGGATTGTAGGGCCTTCTGCACCTGCTCTGGCTCCCTCTCCTCCTTCCTCAGAACTCCCGAAACAGTCTCACCTCCCTCTGGTTATAAGACCTTTTCACCTCAGCGTTTGAGTCCACCTTGAGGTAACCCAGGCAGAACTGTCAGCTTCCCCTTTGGACCTCACTCTATCCGTGTTGTTCCTTGGAACTCTCAGGAGTCACGCTCTGTCGCTCAGGCTAGAGTGCAGTGGCACCATCTCAGCTCACTGTAGCCTCTGCCTCCCGAGTTTAAGCGATTTTCCTGCCTCAGCCTCCCTAGTGGCCTGGCTAGTTTTTGTATCTTCAGTAGAGATGGGGTTTCACCATGTTGGCCAAGCTGGTCTTGAACTCCTGACCTCAGGTGATCTGCCTGCCTAGGCCTTGCAAAGTTCTGGGATTACAGGCGTGAGCCACTGTGCCCAGCCAGAATGGAATGTTTTTATATTAATAGACCAGTATATATGCTGGGCCCTTTGATGGCTAGCCCCAGTCCCCCTCCTAGACTGTTAACCTCTGGGGGCGCAGATTAGTCATTCACAGATGGAATGAGTGGCTGATTGCAGTGGCTCACGCCTATAGTCCCAGCACTTTATAATCCCAAGTAATCTGAGGTGGGCAGATCATTTGAGGCTAAGAGTTGGAGACCAGCCTGACCAACATCGTGAAACCCCCTTTCTACTAAAAAACTAGCCAGACATGGTGGTGGGTACCTGTAATCCCAGCTACTCAAGAGGCTGAGGCAGGAGATTTCGCTTGAACCCAAGAGGCTGAGGTTGCATGAGCTGAGATCACGCCACTGCACTCCAGCCTGGGTAACAGAGCGAGACTCCATCTCAAAAAAAAAAAAAAGTGACAGACTGAAAAGAGGTCAAGAAGCAGCTGGTTAAGGAATAAACAGATGGCAGGTTGGCAGGCAGGGAGTATAGTGTGTGAGAGCCTGAGATGGGAAGGTGGCATCATTAACTGAGTCAGCAACAGGAGGAGCAGGTTTTGGGGGTAGGTGCTGAATTGGAATGTCTAGGTACCTAGGGTCCTACTCAGTGTTCTACGAGCTGGACCTGTGAGAAAAGACATCCCACTTCAAGTCTCCCCTTTCCTGTACAGGGTCAGTGTGGGCTAGGCCACACTCTCTGGTTAGGTTACCAGGATGGGAACCCAGAACTTTCCAAACAGATTCAAACTTCCTCCCTCCAAGATGCCTGGTGATTCAGCCCTCCTTGCCCTGTGCCACCCCCACCCCCTCAGTTTATGCCTTGGGCTACCAGTAAAGGGAACTTTTTTTGGTTTCTCCTGAAATTACTCAGTTTCAGTAAGGGAACTTCTGAACTCCTAGTATGCCTGATCCTGGCTGGGGAACATTCCTCCTCAGACTTCAAGCTGTCTACCTCCTCCCTCAACTAGAAGTCCTTTTTTTTTTTTTTTTTTTTTTTTTGAGAGGGAGTCTCGCTCTGCTGCCCAGGCTGGAGTGCAGTGGTACTATCTCGGCTCACTGTAGCCACCACCTCCTGGGTTCAAACAATTCTCTAGCCTCAGCCTCCCAAGTACCTGGGACTACAGGCGCCCGCCACCACACCCAGCTAATTTTCTTGTATTTTTAGTGGCCAGTCCTTTCTAACTCTCTCTTCTCCAGGAAGATTCAGAGTAAAGCTAGTTAAGACTTCACTATCAGGTGGGCAAGGTGGTTCACACCTGTAATCCCTGCACTTTGGAAGGCCAAGAAGGGCGGATCACCTTAGGTAGGGAGCTCAAGACCAGCTTGACCAACATGGAGAAACCCCGTCTCTACTAAAATTACAAAATTAGTCAGGCGTGGTGGCGCATGCCTGTAATCCCAGCTACTCAGTAGGCTGAGGCGGGAGAATCGCTTGAACCCGGGAGGCAGAGGTTGCAGTGAGCGAAGATCGCACCATTGCACTCCAATCTGGGCAACGAGTGAAACTCCGTCTCCAGAAAAAAAAAAAAGACTTAACTATCTTTCCCCAACACACACAGATACACACACTCTCACATATACACATCCATGCAACTGCTATTGCTCTGACCGGTACCCACCCCACCCCTTTGTGAATCAGCAGCTCAAATGAACACATTAAAGAGTAAAATGACATTCAGTCTGTGTGAAGTCCTGGCTTTAGGCAGAAATGGCTGCAGAGCATGTTTTGCACAGAAAACACATACAGCATTTAGGCCACTGACCTAGGTTCAGAAACTTGCAGAAGGGCTGCTTTGGGGTTCTTTTTTTTTTTTTCAAACATTAAATCTGATAAAATTAGGTCAGGCATTTCTTGCACAATTAGCAGTTGATCAAATGACTTCCTTAGTATGACTCAATGTAGTCCAGTAAACAACATTTAAAACAAGTTTATTTTCAGGCTGGGTGCAGTGGCTCATGCCTATAATCCAAGCACTTTGGGAGGCTAAGGTGGGCAGATTGTTTGAGCTCAGGAATTTGAAAACAGCTTGGGCAACATGGCGAAACCCTGTTTCTATCAAAAATGTACTGGCTGGTTGTGGTGGCTCACACCTGTAATCTCAACACTTGGGGAGGCTGAGGCAGGTGGATTACGAAGTCAGGAGTTTGCGACCAGCCTGGCCAATATGGTGAAAACCTGTCTCTACTAAAAATACAAAAAGCCGGGCATGGTGGCACACACCTGTAGTACCGGCTGCTTGGGAGGATAAGGCAGGAGAATTGCTTGAGCCCAGGAGGCGGAGGTTGTAGTGAGCTGAGATTGCGCCACTGCACTCCAGCCTGAGTGACAAAGCAAGACTCTGTCTCAAAAAAAAAAAAATAGAGCCAAGCTTGGTGGCACATGACTGTGGTCCCAGCTACTTACTTGGGCAGCTGAGGTGGGAGGATTGCTTGAGCCCAGGAGGTTTAGGCTGCAGTGAGCCATGACTGTGCCACTGTACGCCAGCCTGGGAGACAGTGAGACCCTGTTTTATTTTATTTTATTTTTTTTTTTTTTGAGGCGGAGTTTCACTCTTGTTACCCAGGCTGGAGTGCAATGGCGCAATCTCGGCTCACCGCAACCTCCATCTCCTGGGTTTAGGTAATTCTCCTGCCTCAGCCTCCTGAGTCGCTGGGATTACAGGCACATGCCACCACGTCCAGCTAATTTTTTGTATTTTTAGTAGAGACGGGGTTTCACCATGTTGACCAGGATGGTCTCGATCTCTTGACCTCGTGGTCCACCCGCCTCGGCCTCCCAAAGTGCTGGGATTACAGGCTTGAGCCACCGAGCCCGGCCCCTTGTTTTATTTTAAATAAAACAAGTTTATTTTCAAAAAAGCATGCCTGGCATGATAAATCTAATAAATCTCTTACATTTTAACTTTTGAATAAGATAGAGTAAAAAATACTGGCTAAAGATTTCTCCAAGGGGCCAGGCATGGTTGCATGCACCTGTAGTCCTATCTACTCAGAAGGCTGAGGTAGGAGTATCACTTGAGCCCAGAGGGTCAAGGTTACAATGAGCTGAGATTGTACTGCTCCACTCCAGCCTGTATGACTCCAGCCTAAGCTGTCTCAAAACAAACAAAGAAATAACAACAACAAAAAACCCAGCCTGGCCAACATAGTGAAACCTTGTCTCTACAAAAAAAATACAAAAATTAGCTGAATGTGAGGAGGGCAGATCATTTGAGGTAAGGAGTTCGAGACCAGCCTGGCCAACATGGTGAAACCCCAGCTCTACTAAGAATACAAAAATTAGCTGGGCATGGTGGTACACTCCTGTAATCCCAGCTACTTGGGAGGCTGAGGCAGGAAAATTGCTTGAACCTGGGAGATGAAGGTTGCAGAAGCCAAGATTGTGCCACTGTACTCCAGCCTAGGTGACAGAATGAGACTCCGTTATCAAAAACAAAATTAACCAGGTGTGGTGGCGTGAGCCTGTAGTCCCAGCTACTTGGGAGGCTGAGGTGGGAAAACCGCTTGAACTCTGGAGGCAGAGGTTGCAGTGAGCCAGAGGTTGTAGTG